TCCTTGCTCAAATTACATGGATTTTCTCTAACATTGGGGCACACACTGTAACCGCAGCATACAATTTTCCTGCACAATAATTCCTTCCCAGCAGAAAGGTATCCTCTATCAACAGGAACAGACACCTGATTTTCAGCTAGACAAAGCTTATCTGTTTACTGAGTTTGCTGTTCACAGAATAATTTTCACATACAGAATAGCTGCAAGCAAATTTGAAAACAACTTGGCAAATCATTTTTTACCCTAAAATACTTAATCAAAAATGAACTGAAAACTGTAGTGATTAAAAAAACAACACCTTGATTTAAGAGGTGCTGGAGGAGTGGGCAGCTCCTGAAGCCTGACACACACACCCCAAGACAGCCTGCTTACCGCAGGGGGCTGCTGGAGGAAGCAGCAGCTTCCAGAGCCTGTCCCTTTCTCAGACAGCCTGCAGGTCAGGAGGGGAGCCACTGGAGGAGGATCCACCCCCCAGAGCCAGGCTTCCTTCTCCTCCCCATGCACTCAGCCTGTAGGTCACAGGATGCCAAGGATAGCCCTCAACAGCCTGCTACCCATGGCGGGTGGGGGGAGGAGGGAGAAAGACTTCTGGAGGGGACAGCAGCCTGCAGGGGGTGCAAACTGGGGCCTGCTGACAGGCAGCTCTGCCCTGAAACCCTGGGAGGAGTTGCTGCCAGAGCAGTGCCACCCTCGCCACCAGCAAAGGCAGCTCTGGTAAGTCTCCTTCACTTCTCAGCCCCAAGTCCTCTGCCTCCCACCTGCTTTGACTTCTGCACTCCTTCCTCCAAGTCCCCCATCCTCTTAAACCCTCTACCCTAAGCCATCCAACCACTGCCCCCCCCTTTATTTAAAGAAAATAAAATCTATAAATTAAAAATTTACGTGCTTTATTTCATTTAAAAATATTTTAAAGACCTGAGCAACACTGGATACATCTGCTAGTAACCAATATATGAGCATTTCCTTCCACAGAATGCAAAAATTAGAAAGTTACTTGAGAAACAGCAATGCAATCAAAACCCACTTAATGCAGTTAAGATTGTATATTATTCAAACTAAAATTAGTATAAAAAAACTGTGATTAACACAGTATCTCAAAACTGAACATATCCTGAATATCAAAGGATTACAGACCAAATTTTATGTTTCACATACCTAGCTAAGAGCACAGTTTCTGAACAACGCTCACATCACTGCTGCAGAGTTTACTCTGCAAATCTTCTATATGGAGAGGATAATCTAGAGTGGACTTGAATTAACAGTTGCTATGGAGGCTCTACATGGAACTGTGACAGAGAGAGAACATATGCTATATTAACACTATTTTGTGGCTTTTTCGGATGCCCTTCTTCGTCACAACACCTGGATTTGACTCTACATGACCAACATCAAGGATTTGCATCTGAAATTTATAGAACAGACAAGAACCTTTTGTAAACCAGCACCTTGAACAGTATACATTTTATCATGTTGCCAAATCTCATTATGTTTGACTTAAAGCCTCATCTCCTGAAGTCACAACTCAGCCTTTTTTTTTTTTTAAATTAAGTTTTTAAATCTTCCTGGTTGCAGAGAAAAGCCGAAACATTCAAAATCAGGAAGGCAAATAAAAAAAATTTAAACTGTCATTATTTTTAAGCCAATCTGGGGCCTGTCTCATGATTTTTCAGTACTTTGAGACTAACATTACTATCTAGAAACTGTAGAGACATGTTTCAGTTAAACACATTCATAGTCAAACTCCAAAAAAAGTTATAAAATAATTCTCACTTTTCATTGAATTAAGTTATAGTTTTGGAAAGTTACATTTTAGAAAGTAACCAGTTTCTTTTGTGAGTCAATTGTAGGAAATCTACAGTACAGCCATGTTTGCTCACCTACTACTCTAAATTAAAGTCATACCTGATCTTGCATACCAAATAGTGCAAAATGTAGAGAAAAAAGTCAACTTTCCAGTGACATATGCCAAGATCTTCAGCTTTTGATAACTTACAAAGTTTACTTTTGTCCGTTCAGAACACTAAGGTTTCATATGTACAATAAGAGAGATAAGAAGTCAGAAAAAGTAAATATTAAAGATGAAGCAGTAGGGATTATTTGAAGACATGAGAAAGCATGAACTGCAACATTTGCCACTTTCCAGAACATTTTCATAGGAAGATTTATAAAACAACTGCATCCTCTATTATGCCCAGTGCTAGTGATGATTTGCCAGTAGAGCCATTACAACAACAGAATGTTGGTAGTATCAACTGGAATCAGAAACCCTTGCTTTCCTTATAGCCTCCTGGATTTTTAGAATTAACATTGTGTTCAACATTTCTTAAAACATTAGGTTAAGTTTCGTATTCTTATACAGAAAAAACATCTTTGCCCTATTCCCATAATTTGGTAGGAAATTTCTGTGTGGGCAGAAGAAGGAACTGCTCTTCACCTGCCACTGTAGCTTCCGAGTTGGGAGTTGATTCTGCAACTCTACTACACTTCTACCACTTCTTTGTGCACAGAATTGGGTAGGGTGTCTGCCTGAAACTCTGTACTCTGCCCAAACTAATCATTCTAAGGGACTGCTTGGAAAGCCATAACTGGGCTCTCTAACGAACAAAAGGTATGTTTCTGATCTTGGGTCTTGACTCAATCAGTGGAACCACAACATCATTTCCAATATACTTCCAGATCTAGTAAAAGTGATATGGAACTGGAAGGTGTGCTAATTAGCTACTTGTATGGCCACAGTAAAACCCCATCCTGCTAGGAATTGTACAAACACAGAACAAAGAGATGTGATAAAGAGCTTGCTATCCAAGTATAAGACAACAATAGATGGATTCAGACAAATGATTTGAAGGAAACAATGAGGCAACAGCAAATGAAATTTGCTTCCAAGAATAAAGTAACTAGGAGTACTTTCAAAAATGAACTTTCCAGAATTAATCAGTATTAAGCAAGAGTACCTCTTATTCATCCATCACTGAAATGGAAAGCAGACATTTCAGTTTTCTAACATACTGTTTGTTCAACATTAGGCCTCTCACATCCTCCATCATGCCCTACAGTTAAATTCACTTTAAAGTGAATCACTTATCACTACAGTTAAGTTAGCATTTGAGCAATTCTGATGTTAGGAGGTTATGGAACAGACATAATTACCATAAACTCTGTGCAGTTATAACTGCATAAGTTGTTCCCTATTTCCCAGGCTTCAAAATGTGGAGAAAGACAAGAAAATCTGAGGTCAAAATTACTACTATAACAAAACTTACTTTATTGTATGTAGGTACAATACATATCTTTAATCACTAATCTCTTAGTACAAAAATACTAGGATGGTCACATAAGGGATGTTAAAAAGCAGGTAATTGGGTAACTGTGTACCCGCTGAAAATCTCAGTGGTTATACATATACACGTCTGCCACCACTGCACTCCTGCCTCCGATTCAGAGCTCCCCAAGAGTGAGGCGGAAACCTGGGCGTAACAGTGAATGGTAACTGATAAGCCCAGGCTTATCAGTTAACCATGTAATGTTTATACTTTTATATCCCTACATACATTTTAATATGCTGTTTTTCTTCTGTGTATTCTCTTTCAGTAACTTCTAGAGATACCATGATTTTCTGTAGTAAAATTAATAAGGACTGTGTTTCATGGTCCTTATATATACAAACATGTTATAAATGATAAAATAAAGAGAACTGATGCAAATCCTAACAGCCTCTGTGTAATGCTGAAATGCAACCGGCAAGGAGAGATACCAAGTACTGATCAACTTCAGAATTACTTTCAGAATGCATCAAAACAAAGGATATTCATTGTTTTGTTTAAGTATACATTTTTAGCAACACAGAAGGATCAAGGCAGTCACCTCTCTGAAGGAAGGGTCCATCTCAAACAGATTATTTGATGAAAGTGTAATTCATCTTGAATATTCCCTTTAAAAACCAGAAGTTTCCATATTCTGCACACAGATATTTTTGTGGACATTTATGGCTGAATGTCCTCAGCTTTTATGCTGGTCCAGTACCCAAATGAGGGATTTTGCCAGACCAAGGGAGGTCATTTCTAGCCCCCCCAACTTGGCTTCTCCTGGCCCAGAAGCTGGCCTCCCCACTGGCTCCCTCCCTGCCATTGGCCCCGCTGCTGGCTCTCTTGCAGCCAGCCTGGCTGGCCTCCCAGCTCCCACACCGTTTCTGCCTCCGGCCCTCCATGAGGACTTTGGTCCAGCAACATTCATGGTCTTACAGGACCACAGATGTTGCTGGAGCAGAGAGTCCCAGTTTAGAGAGGTTCAACCTGTAGTTCAGAGCATTGAAAATACATCCTTAGAGTCAACAGCCTTGTTGTAACCCAGAAAGAAATGGCAACTGCCATTTAAACACAAACTAAAAATACAGGTTCTTGTTTTGCAGAAACTCACATTTGTAGTTCTGAGGAAAGCCCTGTCAGAATTGGGCCAATTGTTTTACACCAAAATCTATGTTAGTGTTCACATAATCCTTCATAGTGGGATAGAAAGTAACAAGATAATTAT